CTCCAGGACCCACATGCCTATCAACTCTACTCTCTGCCTACAATGACAGAAATCAGGTCTTTCTCCATAAAATACAGTATGAGCATTAAGATAGACTTTTTTGATTTGTCCCAAACATTCTAAACAATCACAATAAAAAGTTTTTCACATCACTCATGTCTCCAGAAACATATCAGGAGACGTACATGAAGCAAAATGCTGGGCGTGAATGTTTTTGCAGATTCAGGCTCCAAAGAACAGAAAAGCAGAAAAAACAAACAATGGTGTTTTTAAACAATGAACGTTGTTTTCCTCTAACCATAAGGGAGTTTTAAAACTTGACAAAGCCATTCAGCATTCAAAGCATTCCACATTCCCCACCCACAAGCAAATGCCAGAAGGTGCCAATTTGAGCCAACTCTGAGCTCAGGAATGATTTTCTAAATAATGGATCAGATTTCTTGAATGTCCACACTCCACAAATGGATACTTACTATTGTCCTAATTGGTCTGATGAAAACTACTCAGCCATCTATCAAGCTATTAATTTAAAAAGAACATTTCAGCAAGAGATGAGATAGTAAGGCAGAAATGCAGAAACAGCAAATGAAGGTTATTACTACTTTGTGAAGGTTGAAAATCACTGCCTTAGGTCTTTGAAATTTTAGAGCTATGTTGTGCATAGGCTCAATTTTAATGAAGGACTTGGGAGAAAAATGTTTCTGATCATATAAAGAAAGCAATTTCCTTAATTTACAGGGAGGAATTCTCTTTGGAGAGGACAAAGAAAATCATATTTCATATGCTCATTACATTTATTGAACTAACATTTTTTGGGAAGCATGCCCTGTGCCTGATACCATGCTATGCACTGAGATACAAAAATGAAAAAGATAAAGATCTTGTTCTGTAGCCTAGTCATGAAGACAGAGAAGCAAAGGAATAGTGTAATAGATCCAACAAAAGAAGAATGCACTAGCAAGTGAGAAGTGAGGTTAGAGTTGAAGAGGAACTGTGTTGCAAAGATTTTGGATTTAATTTTTAAGTGATGCAGAGTTGTTAAACAGAAGTGATCATGAGACTGTACAAGGATCATGCTGTTATCAATGTGAAGAATCGTTGTAGTAATGGGTTGTTATCAATGTGAAGAGACATCCAAGACAGGTTGAGTTCCCCCCCTTTTTTTTTTTTAGTTTATTGGATTTTGATAAATGTTTACCCCTACTTAACCATCACCCCAGTCAAGATAATGAACATTTTTATCACTCCCAAGAGTTCCCTTGAGCCCTTTGCAGTAAAATATCATCCACTTTTGGTCCAAGGCAGCCACTGATAAGCTGTCACAATAGGTTAGTTTTGCCTGTTTAGTTTCACATGAATGGAATGATATAGTAAGTACTTTCAGGCTGGGACTACGAAGGTCCTAAGATGCAAAATGGAACAGATATTCACTCTCAGTTTCATGCTAGTGTTGACCCTACAATGTACCCTGTATGTTTCTTTTGCTCAGCTTACTGTTTTTGAGATTTTGTTATGTATTTCAGTAGTTTGTTCCTTTTTTTCATTTTTTTTTTTAAGATTTTATTTGTGTTTGAGAGAGAGCATGCACAAGCAGGGGGAATGGCAGAGGGAGAAGCAGGCTCCCCGCAGAGCAGGGAGCCTGATGCCGGACTTGATCCCAGGACCCCAGGATCATGACCTGAGCCGAAGGCAGACGTTTAACCGACGAGCCACCCAGGGATCTCACTAGTTCATTCCTTTTTATTCCCGTGTACTTACTGTTATATATTATAATTTGTTTATCCATTCTTTCATTGATGGGACATTTGGACTCTTTCCATTTTGGTACTTTTATGAATAAAGCTTCTATGAACAGTTGTGTGCAAGTAGTTTTGTGGACATGTGTCCCTTTCTCTTGGGGTAATATTTAGGAGTGGAATTGCTGGATCATATGGCAAGTATGTACTGAACTTGGCAAGACTGCCAAAATTTTCCAAAGTGGTTTTAATACTTTATACTCTTATCAGCAATGTATGAGAATTCCAGTTGCTCCACAGCCTCACCAATACTTATGAACCTTTATTTTAACTAGCCATTCTTAGCTGTGCAGTGATATCCACTGCAGTGCTAATAGTCATCCCCTGATGATTACTATTGGGCATGATTTTATGTGATGATTGGTCATTAATGCATTTGTGTGAAATATGTTAAAATCTTTTGCCCATTAAAAACATTGGGTTGTCTTCTGGGTTGTCATCTTAATAATAAGTAGGAGTTCTTATATTCTGGATACAAGATCTAGGTCAGATCTATGCATTGTATATATCTTCTCCAACATAGTTTGTCTGAGTTCCACTATTCATAAAAATCATTCCACAACTATATCCCCCTTTCTGCTTTCCAATCCACTTCCCCTTGTCCCCCAAACACATACGATTTAGAAATCATCTAATCCTTTACGAGTGCTAGTTTCCAAATAGTAATTCCATTGTGATCAGAGAATATACTTTGTATGACTTGAATCCTTTTAATTTATTGAGACTTGTTTAATGGCCTAGAATATGGTCTATCTTTGTATGTGTTCCCTGTGCTCTTGAAAAGAATGTGTGTAATCTACTGTGGAGTACTGCTGTGTTCTATAAATGTCACACCAAATTGGTTGACAGTCTTGTTCAAGTCTTTTATATCCTTGTTGATTTGGATTTAGCAAGGATAAATTAAGATTTGATTAAGATATGATTAAGATTTTTTCTTAAATCTTTCATTATATGCACAATCTAGCTCTAATATTTGTCTTTTTGTTCCATGAAGCATTGAAAGAGAGATCTTCAGATCTCCAATATAATTGTAGATTGGTCTACTTCTCCTTACAGTTCTTGCTTTGTGTATTTTGAAACTGTTACTAGGTAAACAAACACTTAGGGTTGTTATGTCCTCTTGCTGAACTGACCTCTTTAGCATTACAAAATGGTCTTTATCTCTGGTAATATTTTTTGCTCTGAAATCTGCTTTTCTGTTATTAACATAGTCACTCCTGCTCTCATTTTATTAGTGTTGGCATGGTGTATCTTTTCCATCCTTTTCATCTGTTTGTCCTTTATTTTTAAGATGTGTCTTGTTGGTAGCATATAGTTGGGTCTTGTTTTTTTATCCAATAGGACACTTTATACCTTTTGATTTAGAATATTTACACTTAAATCCCCTTAAAAGATAATTAAGTAAAAATCATAACAACAAAGTATGGAGCTTACAGCATATGTAGAAGTAAAATGTGAGGCCACAATAGCCCAAAAGTGAGAAGGGAGAAATGGAAGTCTACTATTACAGAGTTCTTCAACTTTTTGTCGAGTAGTAGATCACTTGAATGTAGACTGAGAAGGTAAAGATGTATATATAGTATGGTATAGATCTTTATATACATCTGTGTGTGTGTGTGTGTGTGGTCTACTAAACTAGCAATCACTGAAAAACAGAGTGACAATAAGTCAACAAAAGATAAAATGGAATCATAAAAATACTCAGAAAAAGAAAAAAAAAAACCCTAGAGAACAAATAGAAAATGACTAGCAAGATGAGAGATTTAACCTAAACCATATCAATAATCACATTAAATGTAAAATGTTCTAAAATACCCTGGTTAAAAGGTGGTGATTTTCAGATTGGATAAAAAAGCAGGTATGAAGCTCTGGTCAGGTAGTGGTGTAAGCACTTTAGACAGTCTCATTAAATCCTCTCTTAACAATCGTGAGGTATCATCATGCCCTCATTTCAGATATTTAAAACATGAGCCTCAGGTTAAGTAACTTCTCCAAGCGATCCAGCAGGAGATCACACCTGGGTGCTGCAGAGGACTAGTAGGCCGATAGTACTTGCTTCCTTCCCTTCCCTTGCCTTCATTTCAACAACACTGAGTACCTACTACATGGAAGAACTGTACGAGGTGCTGTGCTGCATGGCAACTACTATACTTCTGGGATGAAATCCAACCTCACTAGCTGAGTGACCAGGGGCTGCACATAATAGTTCTTTAAGCTTTAGTTTCCTCATTTGTAAAGTGGAAATAATAATACTGGCCTCATCGTGTTGCAATGTTGGATTGGGAAAGTCCAGGGGGCTATGTATTAATTGGGGGTTATACTCTGCCGATCATAGGAGAAACGTCAATTCAAAACCAAAACACTGTTACATAAGAGTAACAATCACACTCTCCTGTTTAACCGGCAGCATTACAGAAACAGACCACAGCCATCACCATCTCACTTGTACTTTACAGCATTATATGAAGTGTTGGCTTCTTCTGTAAGAATCTTAGCGTGTGATGAATCAGTCTTCTTTTAAAGAAACCTTTCAACTCAACTATTATATTTATGAATTACATTTTTTTTACCTGGAGTAAAAATGGCAATCTTTTTTTTTTTTTAAAGATTTTATTTATTTATTTGACAGAGAGAGACACAGCGAGAGAGGGAACACAAGCAGGGGGAGTGGGAGAGGGAGAAGCAGGCTTCCCGCCAAGCAGGGAGCCCGATGCGGGACTGCGGGGCTCGATCCCAGGACCCTGGGATCATGACCTGAGCTGAAGACAGACGCTTAACAACTGAGCCACCCAGGTGCCCCCAAAATGGCAATCTTATTTGTTTTCCAGATTATAAGGTTTAGATTCCTTACACTTTCATCTTGGACACCTATACTGGATACCTGGAAGAAATAACTTCAGCTCAGGTTATAATAATATTTTATAACAGAAATTTAAAAAAATGACCCAAGCACTAGCTTACATTTGAAATATTAATATATAAATTTAAAAATCAAATTGCAATCCTGTCAGTTAAGCATTAAATTAAAAAAGTAATGAAAGCAACCAGCATTATAAAGAAAAGATTCCAGGCATTATAAAAAACTTCAAATACATTTTTTTTCAAAAACAAAAAAAAACAAGTAAAAAAACTTTAGATATAACATAGACTGTCAGTCTTTCATTATCATAACACTGCTTTTCTGAACAAATAATTGCTGAGACAAAATTTCAAAGATATTTTATTCAAAATTCTCCATCCAAGAGAAAAGATATATAACAATGTTTACACATGCTTTAATAACTTATTTCACTGTACAACTTGCATTCTATATCACAGTACAATAAACCAGCAAAAGAAGATAATCAAGTCAGTACTCTTTAATAATCTCACATAGAAAACACTGAGTAAGGCGTACAACAAGGTACTACCTGTAAATTCTTTCATGACTGAGCCAGAGCGCCAGTCATCCAGTACCATTTGTGTCTATAAATCAGGTTGTCTATACCTTTCTGATCAGTGATGTGAAAGGCAATTAGGACCTTTCCGAAAAGAACATGTTGGTTTGGGTTCAATTTGGTAAGCAACAGCAGAGGGACTCTGTCACGTTTATCCCTTTCTTATAAACATTTTTCCCTTTTGTGTAACTTCCACAGTTTTAAATAAAAATATTTTAGCTGCTTGTATATACTATTATGTCAAAACTGTTCTAGCACAGAATTATATTAATAACTTATTTTATAGCTAGCAAAATGGTCCAAACGCATTAAGGAAACAAAAGAAATTGATCACTTAGTTTTGCCAAAGTTGCACCTAGTAAAATAGCACATCAGTAAAGTTTCTCCTGCTTTCCTCACAAGATGCAGGCAAAGAGACCTGCCAGCAACTTCAAAAATATGGGCAGAAATATAAGAAGAAAAGGATAAGATACTATTCTCTGTTCCTGAAAAAAGATCTTACTAGTTAGTATATTCTCTATTGCATTTTATAACCTTGGGAGTCACAACTGCCAAATCAGGGTGAGAATCTACAAGAGGAAAACAAGATAAAAATGGCTGACTAGTGTAATCTGAACTTCTTCCAAGTCATTATATTTTTCAAGATAAAAAAAGGCACAGGAGGTACACATTTCAATTCGGCTCAAAAATAATAAAAATTAATTTAAATAGTTGGCAATAACTACTAAAACATAAAATCCAATTTCCTCTATTTTCTTTGACAGAGCTCAACACACAAATACACAAACAAACAAACACCCTGACTGTGGTTCACCATCGGGACTACATGTATTGCATGACGTTTTTACACAGACTGAACTCTAAGGACTACTAGTCTATCAAGTATGATCTAATAATTAATTTGAATTAAGCATCTGCTTGATCAATATATTCTTTCTAAAACTTAACCTATGTTCAAGGAACACCAAGAGATGAAAAGTCAACTAGTATTTATCTGTGAAAACTAACTCAGATTTCACTTTGATACATGTAAACCATGAACTGTAAGTTACAAAAACAGTAGTTGTGGTCAAGTTTTATTCTATTATTATATCTTTAAAAGAGAGCAGTAACATTTACTATAACTGTAAACCCAAGTTTGTATCCCAAGATAGCACATCTAGGAAAAGATGCATCCATTGTAACGATGCACCTGACATCCCCTTACAGACTTGTAACAACTGTAGTGTAACTAACTTTAACTGCACTGCCAAGTAGGACTCTAGGGCATGACCCGAGGGAATGATGTCTCCTATACCACCAAGCTACTTTAGCAGCAATCATGATTGTGACAAAATATACTTCACAAGTTACACATTCAAAAAGTCATTAGAACATCTCGTTCTTGTACACTAGTATAGAAAGGTCTTCCAAAGATAAACGAGTGTAGGCCTGGTTTAATTTTCTCGGCTAGAGCCATTATTATGTTAAGGTCGCCCTCTGCTGTTAAATCAAGGTCTATCTTCAGGTTCCGTAGAGATTTAAAGGGCTTTTTCCCTTTCTGCCTATAAATAATGAAGAAAAAAAAATTTTTATATATAAAAATATAGAAAACGTCTAAAAGGAACAAAACAAAACACAATGCACACAGGTTTTTATTCCATGTGGTTTTACTTACGTATCATCTTCTATATATTTTATTAGCGTCAAGGCTTTTCTGTGAAGGACGAGTAGAAACTGTGCAAGGAAAGTACTCCTGAGAGATAAACCAGGTTTCAAATGAAAGACCTAGAGGAAAATGAAGTATTTTAATAAATAATCTGCTCCAATTCTTCTTATACAGCATGTTTCCATCACAGCGTTGACAATGTCTGGCAGATAACACACATTAGAGCAGTTCTCCACAACCATCCAGCCCCTAATAGACAGGAAGTAGAGTCTAAAGTAATCACGTTTTTCTGAAGTCTTCTATTTTATCTTTGAAAATGAACTCAAATTTTGCATTCTATCTCAGAATACATCCCTATTTACTTTATTATTAACAATCATGATGTAGGGGCGCCTGGGTGGCTCAGTTGGTTAAGTGGCTGCCTTCTGCTTGGGTCATGGTCCCAGGGTCCTGGGATCGAGCCCCATGTCAGACTCCTTGCTCAGCAGGGAGTTGGCTTCTCCCTCTGCACCTCCCCCTGCTTGCGCGCACGCTCTCTCAAATAAATAAACAAAATATTAAAAAAAAAATGATGTAATTTACTTCTATTTGTATTATCTAACTTTTTCTGCCCACATCTCCAAATAAAATTGAAGCTCCCAGAAGTCGAGCCATGCTTACAGACTATGGATTTAAGATATTCTTCTCTCTCTACTGTTGGGGGTAAGGGTACATGTGTAGTGGTAAAATGATTTTATTCAGCTCGAGAAGCATGGAATTAATTGCATGACTATGAATTATCCTTGAAGTATGCAATACGTCACAGACTACACAGACCTGGATCTAAAATTTTGAGTTAATCTAAGGACCTCATTATTTCAAAGTTACTTCTATGATACTGTTTCCTGGCCTGGTCCCCAGAATGATGTTATGACAAAGCTGTTATATTAAGAAATAAGTCCCATATAATCTATAATTTTCTTCAAATGTTAACTAAGTAGATATTTTTCAAAATAATGAGACAATAAAGATGTTATTATTTCAGTAGAAGTATACAAAGTTTTAAAGACATTTTGGCTCAATTAAGGCAAATAAAAAATATTCTCCTTTCCCCAAGAGAGTGATAGGTTAGTGGTTGGAATTAAAACATTAATTATTATTATATTGCATCTTTCATTGTTAATATATAGGCTACACCCACTAACAATTCAAAAGAAACACTATGTAGACACTTTAGAAAGATCTGAAACATTACAAAGAGATAATGACTTAAAAAAGTAACGACTTAACTCTATGATGCTACATATATAGCACAGGCAATGTAGTATACACTAAAAAAGAAAACATATCGTATCATTCATTTTGACAATCTCAGGTTTAACATTTACCTGATCCAGGAAGGCTTTTACTAGAGTGTCTCTGTGTAAGACATCTTGAAAAATATTCCTATGAAGAAAACAGTCCAAACATTGAAAAGGCTACTTTCCAAAATCCCTCACTCCAGCCAATAAATTAAATTCTTAGAAATGGAATATTATATGTAAACATATTTATAAAAATTATATATATATAAAAATATATTTGGAGATACAAAAATATTTATTTTAACTCAAGGATACATTTGTGTATTACTGGAGTTTGTCAAGCCACTATGTAATTATTTTTCTCTTAAAGATATAAACATCCCCAAGAAGGGTATGTAAGTCCCTATCAATCTATTTTTGTACCCTCACCTTATAAAAAAAATGTTGAGAGCCTTAGAAAATTAATAAATACGATTGCCAATTCCTGCCATCTCAAAATAAAACAGCAAGAAAAATAAACACATACCACCACCACCAAAACCCAGAACAAAATAAAAGGTTAACTTTATGTTATAGTAACTTGTAATAAGCTGTTGAGGAAGAAAAAGGTAAAAGGGTAAATGTTAAGGAAAATTCAAGTGGGATTAAGGAACATCTTGACCACTGAGCTGCATCAACAAACTTATCACCAAGCAAGTAACATGAACCAACTACTTAGGAAAGAGTTACCTACCTAGGCAATGATCAGAGTAATAAGTTAAGACATAATACACACTAGAGATAATGTATCTCTAACACAGCATAAGGTAAGCAATTTTTCACTGAAAATGGTAGGGATCATCACTGAACTTACAAGAAAGGCAAACAAAGAGAGATGTGTGCATAGAGAAATAGGAAAGTACTTAAAATTTCCTACTTTAGGAGATGGGTGTACCAAATTACAGAAGAAGGAAACTCAGAAGGAAAAAAAAAAAAAAGTCAGCCCTGCATGATTACTAGTCGGCAGCACCCCTTTTCAAACTGACTGTCTCTGTCATAGGTGAATCAGATGAAGCAAAGTGTTAAAGGATATTTCCAGTGACTCACTGTAATGGCAGTGAGTGAAATTATTTTTAGAAGTTAAAATTAAAAATATCTTAAAAGTAAATAATACTGCTTAAAGAAAACTAAAAAGTAAAATATATCTGTAATATGTAAAAGTTAATATACAATCTAATGGCAGAATATTATTTTTGGACAATTTCGTGTTCAGAAAATTTACTTGGGAGTTGTAAATAAATTTTAAAAATTCATGATGTTATTTTTTTAATCATCAGTAAAATAAGACTAGCTGGCTAATCAAAGTCGGTCAAATCAGTGAAGCAATCAAAACATAACTGGCTAAAATGAGTAAGAAATGTTAAAAGCATACACATACATCCTCTAAAAAAATAAAAATAAAATTACTGGATGATAAATCCATTCTCAAGTTCACTAAATTCCCCCCCAAAAAAGCTCTGAAGTAACTAAAAAAAGGGGAGAAAATACTAAATAATTCAGGAAAGAAGAAAATGCTTGAAAGCACAGATTAGTTTTGAGAATTCCTACACATGTACCACAATTACCAATACTTAAAAAATTAGTCACCTGGAATTCCCGTTTTGACTAATTCATTTTCTAAACCAATTTCCTTAAAACTTTCTATGGAACCCACAAAAACAGTGGACAGCTGGAAAAAGATGGGTCCTAATGATGCCATCTTTCTGGACTTAGAGACACATGAGGCTGGGGATTCCTTGGACATGGGGCTCCTTTTCTATGCTTTTGGTCAATAACTTCTGTGTGACTATTGGTGCTCCACATGTCCCCTGGCTCAGCTCCAAATGTTTCGTAGAATTACAGGACAGGGCTGCTTGCTCCAATTTTACTGCTGCTTTATACGCTCAAACATGGATTATCACAAAAATAACATTTATTGAGCATATTAAATGTGCTGGGCACTCTAAATTGATTAAAGAGAACCATCAGACTATACCGCATTTCTTCTCCTGATTTAGAACTTAAGTATTTTCCTGGGGTTTTATAATTTGGGTTTATAATCTTTCCCCTCTAATTGGGTCCACTTTCAACATTTTATCATTACTTTTTCTCTTTTTAATTTACTGATCATACTTTATGAATAAAAAATGAAAAACAATATAAAATGCAAATAAAAGAATGCTCTATACATGTATTTTCAGAGTTCTGCTGTATATTATATTCACATATCAAGAAAAAAAAAAGAATTACTTCCTTGGTTTAGTTAATAAGCCTTTTGATGACTCTTATACACTAGACTGTAGGCCCAACCTTATTAGCACCTCTTATTGTGCGTAGGGCCTCAATGTATATTTAAGTAAATACTTGAATATTTACTTTTAGGGACTAATCTAACCTATCTATGCAAAACACAATTATATTAAGAAAAAGAGACATTTAAGAAAAAAAAATAAGGCAGGGGTGCCTGGGTAGCTCAGTCCTTAGGCATCTGCCTCTAGCTCAGGTCATGATCCCGGGGTCCTGGGATAGAGCCCCACATTGGGCTCCCTGCTCCGCGGGAAGCCTGCTTCTCCCTCTCCCACTCCCCCTGCTTGTGTTCCCTCTCTCGCTATGTCTCTCTCTGTCAAATAAATAAATCTTAAAAAAAAAAGAGTAAAGGGGCGCCTGGGTGGCTCAGTCGTTAAGCGTCTGCCTTCGGCTCAGGTCATGATCCCAGGGTCCTGGGATTGAGCCCTGCATTGGGCTCCCTGCTCCGCGGGAAGCCTGCTTCTCCCTCTCCCTCTCCCCCTGCTTGTGTTCCTTCTCTCTCTGTGTCTCTCTCTGTCGAAGAAATAAATAAAATCTTTAAATAAAAAAAGCGCATGATTAACCAAATTATTTCTTCAAGCATAATTCTCGTAGTAATATTTCCTTCCTTTCAAACATAGGCTTGTTTTGTTTTTACTCATAAAAGATATAATTTCATAATACTGTTTAACAATAATATCATTACATACAAATCTGGAGTGAAGCTTTCGTCTGTACAGATGATAGTATCCTGAGCCATGTCTTCTTCTGAAGTGGCTCTCCAGAATGCTGTCAGCTCGGATCTCATGTACCTGCGCTGATTATAAATATGTTCATGACACGGTGGCATCTGCTTGACAGTATTGACATCCACATCTATGTGTGTGGTGGGGTAGGGAGCATACATGACTTGCCGGAAGGGGAGCACAAAGCTTCCCGTTGAATCCTGTCATAATGAAAAGAAAATTTATTGTCTTACATGCCAAAAGATACGAAGAATTATTTTTATTTATTTATTTATTTATTTTTAAAAGATTTTATTTATTCATGAGAGACAGAGAGAGAGAGAGGCAGAGGGAGAAGCAGGCTCCCAAGGAGCAGAGAGCCCGATGCAGGACTCAATACCAGGACCCTGGGATCATGACCTGAGCTGAAGGCAGACGCTTAACCATCTGAGCCACCCAGGCGCCCAAAACTATTTATTTTTTTAAAGATTTTATTTTTTTTTGCAAGGGAGAGTGAGCACGAGTGAGGGGAGGGGCAGAGGGAGAAGCAGGCTCCCCGCTGAGCAGGGAGCCTGATATGCGGCTCGATTCCAGGACTCTGGGATCATGACCTGAGCTGAAGGCAGATGCTTAACCATCTGAGCCACCCAGGCGCCCCCGAAGAATTATTTTTTAATTAGAAAAACTGGCTTTTGCAAATCCATCTCTAGAAGTTTATCCTAGGAAATGAGTCATGATCGTGTACAAAGTCTTAGTGATGGGTGCACTACAGACTGGTTTAAATAGTAAAATGCTAGAAAATAAGCTAAGCAGCCAAAAAGATAAGTGATTAAATAACAATGGTTTTTTGTCTAGCTGCTAAAAATTGATTTGCTGAAGTTTATGTGATGATACAGAAAGATGTTCATAATATATTGTGGAATATGGAGGTTAAAACATGTGGAGGGGGCAGGGAGTTATGTCAAAGATACATACAGAAGAATAAAAAGAGGAGCAAGGTATATGCCAAATATTAACAGTGGTTATTCACTGGATTATGAGACTATGGGGAACTTTTTCTTTTCTTATAGACTACTTACATATTCTTTTAAATCTCAACGGATATGTATTTTTATAAGTAAAAAATGTACGTCTTCCCAGGTATTGTCAATTGGGCAGTAAATGCCATGTAAGAATTATCTACTGGGTCCAAAGCATTGTGGTATAGATTATGAACACAATACAGAGGCTATTTTCAGTTTTTTACCCTTATAATGCTGTAATAACACCTTTATAAGTAAATCTTTCTCCTTATATAACTGTTTCCCTAGGATGGATTTCCAGAAGCGGAGATAGTAGGTTAAGTCTTTGAACATTTTTAAGGCTCCTGACATATAATGGTAAAGTATTTTCTGAAAGGCTTAACAATTTATACGTGTATGGAAAAGTGTTAACAAATATTTTTTCATTATAGTTTCAAGTTTTCCTCTATGTATCTGGTATAGGTCCTTTTCAGGGATAAAACTTACATAATTAAGTAAGAGGGTGCTGAGGAAATAAAAGTACTAAGTACCTTATTATGTCTTTGATAAAAAGAGATTCTAATTTTCATATTTGTGCAGTTCAAATTGGAAATGAGTTTCCCTTAAGTAGTTTCTGTATTTAAATATTATTCTGAGCTCAGAGCATGCACACTATTGAAAATGCAAAAGCTGAATATAGTTTTTATTTGCAACAATTTTTAATATATTTTCTTTCATTTTGCTATGCCTAGATCCTCAAGAAAGCATTCACTGTGAGAGAATCACATAACCATTAGGAAATCTACTTCTTCACATCTTTGACTATAATTGAAATATCAATGATAGATTCAGTAAAGTATCTTCCCTGTAATTACTGAAAATAATTTGCTAATTTACATTTATCTGCTTTGCTCCTTGAAAAGAGGACTCAATTAGTCAGAGAAACACAAATACCATATGATTTCACCCGTATGTGGAATTTAAGAAACAAAATAAACAACCCCCCAAAAAATCCAGACAAACCTAAAAACAGACTCTTAACCACAGAGAACAAACTGATGGTTACTAGAGAGGAGGTGGTGGGAGGGGTGTAAGATAGGGAGTGAGGATTAAAGAGTACACTAATCATGATGAGCACTGAGTAATGTATAGAATTGTTAGATCACACCTGAAACTAATATAGTACTGTATGTTAACTATACTAGAATTAAAAAGAAAAAGCAGACTCAAGTAAATAAAAAATGTAAAATAATTTAAAAATACACATATGTGAATATGTATATATATGAATTGTTCAAATTCTATATACACTTTGTGAAGACAGGAAGCAATTTAAAATTTTCTTTCAATAAATGAATACAGCACATAAACGAAAAATGCTAATGAAAATTCAAACTCTTGGGGCGCCTGGGTGGCTTAGTCATTAAGCATCTGCCTTTGGCTCAGGTCATGGTCCCAGGGTCCTGGGTTTGAGCCCCGCATTGGGCTCCCTGCTCGGCGGGAAGCCTGCTTCTCCCTCTCTCACTCCCCCTGCTTGTGTTCCCTCTCTCGCTATTTTGTCAAATAAATAAAAATAAAATCTTAAAAAAAAAAAAAGAAAATTCAAATTCTTTTCAGTTAAAAAAAAAAAGGTACCCATTTTAGATATGCAACTTGAATAAATAATCCTGAGGTCAGATAGGCAGCTATAGGAAACAAAGAGAAATACACAAAAAGAGACTCTATGATGTCTCATTGATGCTAACTATAAATCTGTAAGACATATACTCTAAGCTCACACTTGTGTATAGGTCAGCTCCTTGGCATATAACATGAGATGTCCTACATGCTAATACTCAAAATATATTTATAAAGAGTGTCAAAAATGATTTTAAAAAGTTGCTTTCACTTGTGACAAATGGAAACTATACCTTTAGCAGGCCTTGTACAAAGAGCCCTGACTCGTATTTAAATGATGATTCTGCATCACATAATCTGGAACATTTTCTCTCTGCTGGAGTCAGAAAAAGGCATAACGTTCTCACTATCTGTAAAAGAAAATATTTTAGCATTAAAATAAACTAAAGGCCACTGGTTTGCTTATGAAAGAAATTTGAATAGAAACTTCAACCACTATTGTCAATAAAGTACATCCTGAGAAGAAAGTATTCCTTAGTCACCTTCAGGAGTCCATGGGACATCACAGTTGTTGCTTAAAATAGGAATTGTGTGGTCAAGTAAGTTTGGGAAATGCTGGTAAACGTACTGTATATTTCAAAACCTTTAGTGTTTGAATACATATTGTGACCAGGTGATTGATATGATATGCATACTTTATTCAACATATTTGATCACGGAATCCTTATTTCACTAAGAACTAATGACTTAATTATTGATTGTATCTCCACCCAGGGGCAACTATTTTTCAAATCAGCAAACAATTCTGGACAAGAAAACTAAATGCAGTTAAATTAGGCAGAATTATGGCCTCTGTTGAATAGTGAAATTCCATTATAATGAATATTAGGAGTATCCAAATGCTTCAATAGAATGAGAATTAATTCTATTAAATTTGAGGGGCACCTGGGTGGCTCAGTCGTTAAGCATCTGCCTTTGGCTCAGGTCATGGTCCCGGGGTCCTGGGATCGAGCCCCGCATCAGACTCCCTGCTCCTCGGGAAGCCTGCTTCTCCCTCTCCCACTCTCCCTGCTTGTGTTCCTTCTCTGGCTGTGTCTCTGTCTGTCAAATAAATAAATAAAATCTTAAAAAAAAAATTCTATCAAATTTGACTTAAAATAAGCAAGGTATTGGTTGGGGCTTAGAAATCTATGATTCTAACAGGATTTGATCTATAGCTCTATCAGGAAAATAAAAAGCCAAGTAAGTATGTTCAGACAGTTTTCACATTAAAAGTAGTGACTTTAAAGTAGTAGGCTTTCAATATAGAGTGATGGCAACCTTTTTCATACTAAAAAAATAAAAGAGAAGCAATTATGCCAGAAGAGGATGTGGGATGAAAAAAGTGTTTTAAAAACAGAGAGCCCCAACCACAGAGCCTTCTTCTTCCAAAAAGCTACTGGGAAGTCCTTCTGTGAAATCTGAAGGTTCTGGGTGACATAGATGGAAACCTACCTTCTTGGGGTAACAAATATAACAATAAATTGCTAGACCAATATAGTAAGAGGTACACTAACCTCTCATAAATGGATGTATGAAAAATATAATTTTGGTAAATGAAGGGTCAGGCAAAGTATACAGGGTAGAGAAAAAAATACAAATATATTTGTCAAGGAAATAATCATTCCTAACATAGTTCCTGTGTAAAACATAAAAAGAAAAATCAGGTTTACTTAAATTGATAGATATGTGCAACTTATCTCTTTCTAATTAACAGTCAGTGAAGAAAAGTGCAAAATCCCTTAGTTTTTGCCTAATGCTTGGAAAGATAACTTCATTAAGTCTTTATTAACTCATGTAGCACTGAAGGAAGTGGTTACAAATGTTACTGAATAAAACATAACTTCCACTGACCACTCTGTAGCAACAGGTCCCTAAAAAAAATAGATTCAGGAGGAAAAGCAAGATAACAAATCAAGATGAAAAACCAGATAACATTTTTTTGAAATCTGTATCAAAAGTACATGGTTATTGGGCCGCCTGGATGGCTGAGGGGGTTAAGTGTCTGCCTTCGGCTCAGGTCAGGTCCTTCGATCCAGCCCCACCTCTGGCTCTCTGCTCAGCGGGGAATCTGCTCTCTCTCCCTCTGCCCTTCCCCCTGCTTGTGCTCTCCCTCACTCTGTCAAATGAAAAAATAAAATCTTAAAAAAAAAAAAAAGTACATGGTTATTGCCCTATTTATTAAAAGTGACATCAGAAAACAGAAGACAAATAATTTTTAAAAATACCTTATTTTAAGAAATTCTCAAAACCATTTATATAATACTGAGAACTGTATAATATTTATGAATTATCAAAATGAAACGGATTAATGATTTCCTATTTAGCAGTTTACTTCAACTTATTTTTGTCACAGGGTGTCACACAGTAATTTGGCCAGATTCTATTACCTCCTTATAATATTAGATTGTTTTGACTCAAGCTAACTTTTAAATTAGAATCCATGATATGTTAGCAGCATTAAGAAGTCAGATTATTGGCTGGATCATAAAATAAATTACCTTATTTACTTTTTCGGCACTGCTACCTACTACGACAGAACAGCCACAGGTTTGCAAGTGTGAGCTGATGGCACTGCAAGGTGAAGAAAAAAGATGAAAAACGTTGCCAGTAAAACAATGTCACAAACTAAAACAAAACAAAAAAAGGGCAAGTGAACTTCAAACAACTTAGACTAGCTTTACATGATGAATGCCAAAGCTACAAGAGAAATGCCATCCCTTGTTTCCCGTAGTACTTTACATTTTCCTCAGGCCTTTCACAGAGATTCTCCCATTTGAAATTAAAACCCAGTTAGTAAAATATTACCAGTTTATAAAGAATGAAACTGAGGTGTAGAGAGGTTAAGTGATTTATTTAAAATCAAATGGGATTAAAAATAATGATATGAATGGCTGACAGCAGATTCAGCACTAAAGTGCTTCTGAATCAAGCTATGTTAAGGCTTCTAGGCTAAAAGCACTCACGCCTCTGAGCTTCTCTGAGGAAAAGACTATGGACATAAAAAGCAAGTATTTTATCCTTTCACTTCTCATTGAAAAAAATAAAATTTCACAATAATCTGCAATCGTAAAGAAATCGTAAAGAAACTAAGGGAAAAGATGAGTTTATACATGCAGAGAGAGCACTTAGTATAGGGACTGACTCGTAGGCACCTGATAAATTTTGGCTGTTATTACTGTTATTACATTTTCCTTTGAAGAAACAAAAAAAGAAAATGTCAGCTATTATGTGCTTGTTTGTTCCAGGCACTGTTTTATATACTTAATATGATTTATCTCACTCAATTCTTACAACAAATCATATGAAGTAGGTACTATTATTATTCCTATTTTACAGATGAGGAAATGGGGGCACAGAGGCTTCAGGTATCTTGCCCAGGTTTACACAGCAATAACCCAGGAAGTCTGGTTTTAGAGCCCACACTCTTTAAGTACTAAAATCTGCTGAAAGATGGAAAGGATCAATAAAAATACAAATAATTTTCTTTTCTAGGTCTAAAAAACTTAAGTCCATCCAAATGAAACTTAATTTGTAAGGGTTCTGTGATATTGTGATTTTAAGAAATATATATATTTGGTCTTAATCCACAGCTCTTAGCTCAGTTTCCAAAACACTTGGAATTTCCTAAGTGTAGGAAATTACAGAGATGCCTTTTGTTATGTTAATGTGGCAATTTTTGGGGGGAAAGCATCTAAGGATGGGAGCTGATTACTAATGGAGCCAACCACGTGATAAGGGTTAGACCTTTTAGTCCCTCCCCGACCTCTGGGGAGGGGCGAGGGGCTGGAGGTTATCCACCGGCCAATGATTTAATCAATCATGCCCATGTAATTAATGAAGCATCCATAAAAACCCAAAAGGAGTTTGGAGAGCTTCTGTGTTAGTGTACATGAGATTTGGGTAGAGTGGTATTTGGAGATAGTATGGAAGTTATTCACCCTTTCCCCAGACCTTGTCCTATGCATCTCTTCCATCTGGATGTTCATCTGTATCTTAGATTCTATCCTTTATAATAATCAAGTAAATAAAATGTTTGAGTTCTGTGAGCCGCTCTAGCAAATTAATGGAACCCAAGGAGGGGGCTGTAGGAACCTGATTTATAGACAATTGGTAAGAAGTCCAGGGAACAACCTGGACTTGTTACTGGTGTCTGAAGTCCAAGGAGGCTGTGACGTCCAATCTGTTGCCAGTCAGACTGGTGTCCGGGGGTAGGGGAGACGCAGTCTTGTGGGACTGAACCCTTAATTTATGGAATCTGACACTCTCCAGGCAGAGAGTGTAAGAACTGAATTAAACTGTAGGACACCCACTTGGTATCTAGAGCATTGTTTGTTCGTGGGGGGAAGCCCCCACCAACACTGGAAATGGGTCTAAGAACCCCCTTCAGTTCTTTGTTTCAGCTTTAATGAAAAGTAAAATAAGAAACCAGAACCAAACAAGAGACCAAGATTTCCTGCCTGGGCACTATGGACACTCGACTTCTTTAAATATTAAAAAGAGTAACATCAAATATATCACAGACATGTAATAAATGAAAAAAATAACACAAAGCTAAGTAATAGTTTAAATATGCAACACTGTTCCTAGAATAATTTGGGTAGCTAGTCTCTTATTGTTTTCATCCTTCCAAATCATGTCATAGGTGAGCCTAAGATTTCTATCTGCTTTATCCATCTCTTACAAAAAGAAACAAAATCCTTACTTGAGAAGAAAGCCTTCATGACAACTGTCACCAATATCATCATCATTGAGAACTGTGTCAGCTATCTAAAACACACCACAAAAAAACAAATAAAAAAACCAAAGTTATTCTGGCTATAATGTAGCATTGAAATAACACTCTTAAATACACAAGTTTTCCGAAGTCTAAGTTCAATATGACACATTGTCCTCATTTCTAAGCATCAAGAATCCAATAAAACAACCTCTGGGCACTTCTATAAACTTTCAGAAGAACAAATGTGAAAACCAGTCAGGCAAGTTAAGCAACAATCTTGACAAGAACAACTTCCTCTTCTGGGCTATCAGAATCAGGAGACAAATCTTACTGACAAAGAAAGAAACAAGAATAGTTTCCTAAAGATTTCTCTACACATGCAGAGTGTGTAATTCAAAATGCCAACAAATGATAAAGAAAACTAGATTAGTGAATGTAAATAAACTTGTGCAAACCACCACTTATTGGTATACTGCTTTGTTACAAAAAGTATTGCATTCAATACTGATTGCTTCTATAAGGTCTGGAATTCTCCTACTTTTAAGAAATACAAAAGTGGTGAAATAAACTAAGTAAGTGTAATTCTGCCACAACTATCAATGACCAAAAAAACCTCTGTTTGGCTATAAAACTCAGGGTTTTATGTGTGTTTGCTAAAGTGGCTAATACTTCATATGAATAGTATATATGACAAAAAATGGATACTACTAAAATTAGAATACTACTAATATACCTACTAGTAATATAACTCAAGGGAAGTGATAAGAGGGTATCCTTATTCCTATTTAATAATACAAGTAAGAACTTACATCTATTTCTTCAGGAACGCTGTGTGATTTCATAGATGAAAGCAGTTCCATTACAGGAATTACTTCGCCAGTAAGCATTGGAATAATACTCTGACCCTGTACAAAAAAGCAAAATGAAGTGAAGAAAATCACACAATGAAGGTATCCCTGGCTTTTTGAAAGTTTGAGTTATATCACTTTGCTTTTATGAAAGACCTACATTAGTACCTGTTTTCAGTAACCAAAAGAAATCTGAAGAGGATTTCTGCTTCTACAAAAAAAAAAAAAAGGTGAGAAGCTAAAACAGTGTCGAGCATGGGAGGTGGCGCATAGTGCAAGAGTGGCCTGGCCAAGCTCCCGCCCGAACTCCACTCAGCATCTCAGCACCGAGCTGCCTTAGCTTTGGACTTTGTGAGCATCTGTGCTTTAGCTTGATTTATTTTGTCCATCCATCAGTAGGATGTGTTCTAAGGTATCAGAGATGCCTAAGAGGGATTATTTTTTGGGTCTGGGAACACTCAAAAACTTTTCCATATACTAACCATGAGAGACTATGGACTCTGAGAAACAAACTGAGGGTTCTAGAGGGGAGGGGAGTGAGGGGATGGGTTAGCCTGGTGATGGGTATTAAAGAGGGCACGTTCTGTATGGAGCACTGGGTGTTATACGCAAACAATGAAAACACTGCATCAAATAAATAAATAAATAAATAGAAAAAACAAAAAGAGTCATTAGAGACATCTTTGTACTTCAAGAATGACCATTTTTCTTTGTGAATTGAGCTTTTCAGTACTCTAGTTTCAGATCTCTAGGAACAATTTGTGAAAATAAAAAACTGCCCCACATCTTTAAAGGTTTTCTTTTATTCCAGTGATATTTGGGGGAGGCAACTGATGTTACACTCACATAAAATAACATAAAAAACAGTAAATGCCCACTAGAATGTCACTTGGCTTTAATAAATCAAGATGCAATGTACATTAAATATATGAATAAATTTAGATGTTCATTGTAGCATTAATTAATTACACTGACCAACAACAAAAAACTTTTCCATATAAATTAATGGTAACTGCTTCTTTATGGCCATTTCAGTGTATAAAAGATTTTACAGGAATGCTCCGTTTTTGGATAGCAGGGAAAACTTGTATAGGATAAATGGGGCAATAAAAAAATAAGAACTGAAAGCAAGCAATGACATCCTTTGATAGAAATACCTGATAACTTGTTAAAACACCCCCCCAAACATGTCTACTACTCCAAAACGTTTCTAAAGGATGTACAAACTATTTAAAACTAATTTTCATTCTTCCAGGAATGATTTTATTTAGAGTGGAATCATTGGCTTATGATTTACCAATCCACGCAATAATTAAATTATCATGCCAAATTTAGAAAGGATTTCCTTTGATATTTATTTGAGATATGAAAAACTCTTGTTAATTAAAGGTCATTGATGCATTTTATATTTAAAAATGAGGAAAACCAACCATAAAAAGACTTATAGTCAGCAAATAACTCAGTAGTAAAGCTTGAGTCAATGTTCAACCTGTACATTCACAATAAGGTTTAGTACCCAAATGCAAATCAAACTCATCACATATATTTTAAGAATCAATAAACAGACATCAAAAATGTAATTTTGAAATTTGTAGTTTCTAGAATGAAACTGAAAACACAATATAGAACATCACAAGTGTAGAGTTTCTCAATGATGGGTATCTCTCATTTATTCATTATCATCACCCCTGCCCCCACATTTTTGAACCATCCTGAATATGTAAACTTTTATTTTTATTTTTTATTTTTTTATTTTTAAAGATTTTATTTATTTATTTGACAGAGAAAGAGAGAGAGAGTTCACAAGCAGGGGGAGAGACAGAGGAAGAGGGAGAAGCAGACTTCCCGCTGAGCAGGGAGCCCGATGTGGGGCTCGATCCCAGGACCCTGGGATCATGACCTGAGCTGAAGGCAGCCACTAAATCGACTGAGCCACCCAGGCACCCCCTGAATATGTAAACTTTTAGAGAGATGAAACTGTCACATATCTGTTAATTTTTAGCTAAACGTGTTTTTAAAATCACATATTAAGAATAGTAACAGTTTTTTTCCTCACTCATCTCTCATGAAACTATTTTATTCAAACTTTTCACATAGGTCTTTAAATCTCAGTCATTCCTGGAGTGATTTTTTGAGTGACTATAGCCAGTTTTTCAGAAACTTGGGAATTTAAGTATGATGCTGTCTGTGGCAATTTTAAGCTAAGACATAAGCCTCCTTGCATCATATAGAAGGTTTTATTATTTTAAAAAATTCATCCTGTAGTAACCTCCAAACATAACCACTCACTGTTTCCGCTTTTTAAAAGAATTTTTAAAATGCTTGTTTACAATTACAATCAACACATGCAATTCAACAAGAATAATGACTAGCTATATAGCTATTTCCTTGTAAAGTGATTTTATCAGATGATAGCTATAAGCATCCAAAACTTGCAGTGAATGAAGTCAGTGATTGATTCCAGACTAATGTGTCATCCCCAAATAGTATTTATTTGTTCAAAATAAAGTCATTTTAAGCACATGATGTGAGATATGCAAGGATTCAACTATCAGGCAGCTTCTCTGCAGAAAGGATAACTGGAGAAAAATATCTTCCCTTAAGTTTAGGCATATATATAGTGCCATAAACTGTATCTCAGGTATTTATTGTAACGGAATGCATATCCTCATCAAAGCTTAACAAGAGAAATCGTACAAGCCTGAACACAGAAGCAACTCAAAAGAAAATCCCTCAAGTATCTTTTCCTCCTGTGACTTCTCTAACTTGAACTTCTTAGCAGGAGAATGTTTCCCCTTTAAAAACATCCAGTTTGTCTAAATGTACAGAAGGAAGAGGATAACATTTTCAAGAAGAGCCCTTAAAACAGAAATAAATTAAAAGTTAATAGTGGTAAACTTTTTAAGTACAGGTTTCTGGTTTGAAAAAAAAAAAAAATCCCAGGAAAAGCAGAATTTTATTGGGTCTTAAATTTCTTTATCTTGAGGTAACTCTACTAACTACTCCATAACTAGTAGGTACATCTAGAGGTTGGTAAAAGTCTCCCCAATGCTTGCACTCTGCCCATTGACCACCAAGTAAAGGCCAAGCTTCTCTGGGTAAAGGGAAACATTTTCTTGTAAGTGTTAGACCTTTCCCCAGGATTACCTCCTCTGGCCTGGAGAGTTATTTGCAAAAATACAGATATAGTAACAATTTTGTAAAGGAGATCATTTTATAGGGTTTTCTATTTTCCTGGTTTAAGTCCTGTATATTCACAAATTTTTAGAAAAGTTATTGTTTAAAGTACTATTTTGTCTTAGGCACGCTAAAGGAGAACCAGAGTAAAGACAACCCAGTCATCCTCAGACTAGAGTTCAACACAAGGAACACTGAGAGTGGCCAGAGGTAATGGGAGTAAAAGCAAAGAACCCTTTCTCCCTTGGAGATTCCCCTTCAGAACATCTCTGCCCTGCACTGAAATGGTTTACATTTAACTTCCACAAGGGAAACCATATCCATGCAATCATGCATCTCAAATGCTGGTGCCTGTGCCCTAGGCAGATTCAAAGACATGGGATAACCATGGCACGTTTCCCTACAGACTTCATATAATCAGAAATGTGAGGACTATCACCGGCAAATCCGAATATTAAATAGATAGGAAATAAAATATAAATTGCATGAGTGTTAAAAATACAGCATGAGACTTCAAATAAATATTATGCTTAGAACTAATCTTAGATATCTTAGAGGGGTATACTCACTTCTCTCCTGTTATAACTACTTCTGGGGAAATGTTTAAGAAGTAATACCTTTTTTTTTTTTTTAAAGATTTTATTTATTTATTTGAGAGAGAGAACGAGAGAGAGCGAGCACATGAGAGGGGGGAGGGTCAGAGGCAGAAGCAGGCTCCCTGCCGAGCAGGGAGCCCGATGCGGGACTGGATCCAGGGACTCCAGGATCATGACCTGAGCCAAGGGCAGTCGCTTAACCAACTGAGCCACCCAGGCGCCCAGAAGCAATACCTTAAAGAAAATCTCATATAAAACTTAAATTTTTTACCATGAACAAGTTATTCAAAACTTAGTCTGTGCAAACAGAAAAAAAAAAAAAAAAAAAGGTAGCAAAATAGCTATTATTCTTCACTTATTTAACTCTTCAGGTCTAAGATATGGAAATTTTCATTCAATTTATTCCATATATTTCCGTAAAGGCTCTGTTCATTTTCATACTCACTCTGTCAAAACAGTACGGTACAGCTTCAAGGCCTTAAGAAAAGTAGCCCTCAGCCTTATACGGATGCATGTCATGAGCTTGATGGTGTTTGATAGTATGCAGTCTGTATCTTACCTGATCTTCCATTCTTTCTGTGCCTTCTAAGATTATTTTCTGCACATTTTCTTGCCTTTCCTGAGCAAGAGAAAATTCATTAAAATTAACAAAACAAAACATTTTGACATTTGTTTATTTTTCACAATACAGTTAAATGGCAGACATGCTGTTGTGTAGTTCAGTTCGTGGGAAAAATACTTTCCACATTAGGGCAGAAATAAAAAGGGAGGGGGCAGGAAATTAATCCAACAAATCCATTCTCTTATAAACAATACAAAATAAAATAAAAACACCCTTTTCTCTGCAGATAAAAAAAAACTTACTAGAAAACAGTCAATGCAACATCTGCATAATTTCACACAGGAAACTAATGGTTTGTACTTTTCAAATTAAGTAAGATCAAGTTGTATGTATCTGGGGCTTCCTGACTTTTAAATGATTTTCATAAACATTTAAAATAAGAAAACATAGTATGCAAACAGTAAAACACTCTTTCTTTTCAAAGATACTATTACTTTTTACCAGGGGTAAAAGCCTTATAAAATTAAGAACGCTTTAACAGACTTACATATTAGTATCAAACCTGTAAAGCAGAAAGGAGAGTTAAATTTGTTCTTCAGGTCTGCCAAAAGTATATGAAAATATAAATATCACTATGGGGCGCCTGGGTGGCTCAGATGGTTAAGCGTCTGCCTTCGGCTCAGGTCATGATCTCAGGGTCCTGGGATCAAGTCCTGCATCGGGCTTCCTGCTCCTTGGGAGCCTGCTTCTCCCTCTGCCTCTCTCTCTCTCTCTCTCTGTCTCTCATGAATAAATAAATAAAATCTTTAAAATAAATAAATAAATAAATATCACTAAATATTAAATTACAGGATTTAGGGGATGACAGTAATTTCCTCTGGCTGGATCCGCAAAATTAAAAGGAACATCTCCTGGAAACCGTTTGATGCAACCTCCTCATTTTACAAATTTCAGAACTTGGCAAAGAAGTAAAAGAGACCAAAGGCTACAAGGCTTATGAAACACTTGTTTTGAACTGCTTGTACCTACACACAGTATTAAGTGAAAAACAGGGTCATACAATGCAAAAAGAGAAAAGGTTTTACAGTTAAAGGTTCCCAAGACAAACCTAGACTCTAAAGCTTACTACGATGTTCTCAATTCCTCTAAGCTTTAGCTTTTACTTGTAACACAGAACTATCATTTCCAAAAAAAAAAAAAAATAACTATCATTTCCTACCTTCAAGGGTTATTATGAAGATCACTGACATCAGACTACTAGAACTAATAGGGCAGATGCAAATAATAGCTACTGTTTGAAGTTAACTGCATATCATTTCTAAGTATTAGATATAAATTATCAGAAGATAAACTTTCAATGGCTAGGTTAGCATGATTAATAAGCTCAAAAACCACTCACCTTGTGCATCCATATCCTTCCTTTCCTGATAATGTGTGTTAATCTATCAACACACACTCTGTGAAGTGGGAGGTAGAAGCTAAGTTCTGTCTGTGGAAGTATAATTGATAGGCCATATGTGCTCCTATCTCCATTCCAGTTTCCATCAAAGATTAATGAAACAATAATTACTCCTTTTTCAGACAAGACAAAAAACTTCACATCTATAGCCCCACTCTCTGCATTTCGGAGAATTTCTCCATTTAAGGTGTGGTTGGCAAGAAAAGTTATTTCTCCATCACTGAGTAGTAGCTGTTCTGTCTTTGGAGCCCAAATGTGTCTGACTCTAGGACCAAGAATATTGTCCCAGTAAGCAAAGGTAGCTGCTAATAAAGGCGATTCACCACTTAGAGCAATCTCTGTCTTGGCAACAGCCGGAGATGGCGGTGGACAGAGATTCGACATCACTGCATCCCAACTACCACATTATCCAAATGCTCCAGGGATATCTAAACAATAACATACAAAACCAATGATTAGGTTCAGCAATTTTAAAGTCATACATCAGAAATTCAAATGACTTAGGCCTATGTGGTTTTCTCTTCAGTCAAAAAAGATTTAGAAGCATGTCCCCTACTAGGATAGACATTCGACTAGCATGGCGGGTGCACATCAAATGCTTGCTAATACGATGATAACCTTATGATGCATAATAACTTGTCACCTATATTCAGGGAATGCACTTAGAAATTCAAAATAATAATGACCTAAAAAAGGGTCTTTGAACATTAATATGAAATATCATATGTTAAAGCTCATAGAATAGACCCTCACTGTCCCCAAATATCCAATCTATGTGCAATTCTTTTTTTTTTAAAGATTTTATTTATTTATTTGAGAGAGAGAGAATGAGAGAGAGCACATGAGAGGGGGGAGGGTCAGAGGGAGAAGCAGACTCCCTGCAGAGCAGGGAGCCTGATGCGGGACTGGATCCAGGGACTCCACGATCATGACCTGAGCCGAAGGCAGTCGCTTAACCAACTGAGCCACCCAGGCGCCCTCTATGTGCAATTCTAATGATTGGATATTTGGTTCCTAAACCACAACAACAAAGAGGAGCAAATTTGAAAAGGGAGGGCTCAGCTAGAGACCACCACACTTGTTGTGGGTTTAACAGTGTCCTGCCCACCCCCCAAATATATATTTACGTCCTAACCCTTTGTATTTATGAAGGTGACCTTATTTGAAAATAGGTATATTCAGGGCACCTGGGTGGCTCAGTCGGTTAAGCGTCTGCCTTCGGCTCAGGTCATGATCCCAAGGTCCTGGGATCGAGTCCCACATCTGGCTCCCTGCTGGGTGGAGAGCCTACTTCTCCCTCTGCCTGCCACTCCCCCTGCTTGTGCTCTCCCTCTCTCTCTGTCAAATAAATAAATAAAATCTTTAAAAAAAAAAATAGGTATATTCAAATTAAGATGGGGTCACACTGGATTAGGGTGGCTCCTAATCCAATGATTGGTGAAAGATTTAGAGAGAAAGATTTAGAAACACATGGACAAAGAGGAAACAGGGCTATGTAAAGACAGAGGTAGGAATTAAGAGCTACATGATTACAAGCCAAGGAAGCCAAAGATTGCTGGTAACTACTATGAGTTAAGAGGCAAGGAATTTTCTTCCCTATAGCCTTCAAAGGAGCATGTCCCTATAGACACCTTATTTTGGACTTCTGGCTTCCAAAACTGTGAGAGAATAAATTTTTGTTGTTTTACATCACCCAGTTTGTGGTACTTTGTTACAGCAGTCCTAGGAAACTAGTAAAGACACCTGTCAGTACAGGTCGCCTGGGTGGCTCAGTCAGTTAAGCGTCTGCCTTTGGCTTAGGTCATGATCCCAGAGTCCTGGGATCAAGCCCTACATCAGGCTCCCTGCTCAGTGGGGAGCCTGTTTCTCCATCTGCCCCTCCCCACTCTCATGCTCTCTCTTTCTTAAATAAATAAAATCTTTAAAAAAAAAAGACACCTGTCAGTAGAAATACCTTAAAGCTGTTAAAAGGGAAAAAAAAGAAAAAGAGAAAGAAAGAAAGACAAAAGATTGCAAAAAAACAAAAACGAGCGAACAGTACCTTTATTCTCAACAAGCTCTCTGGGTTTCAGGGCACTAAAGCCCAATACTGGTGTTTAAAATAAAATTGAAACATCAAGATGAAGATAAATATATTTAATATGCTACTTAAATTTAAGAAAGCAGTGTAGCAGTACACTGAGTTCATTACCAAGAGTTCTATACTAAATGGCTAAACTAAAAAAGCTTCGGTTATTTAGAACATGTAAACAAAGTGACTGGATAGATACTGGTCAAGCCTCTCACTCTGCTGGGAAAATAGATACAGAGAGAAAAGCTAACTGCCCAAGGTCAGAGTCAGGCAAGAATCAAGGTCTCCTATATATCTTAACCCACTGAAATCTAACACTCTAAAGGTATATACTCTCTGTGATAGTGTAAAATGAATCATTCTTGCCTAATATTAAAATTAAGGGGTGCCAGGTTGGCTCAGTCAGTGAAGCATGTGAATCTTGATCTTGGGGTTGGGGGCTGGAGCCCCATGTTGGGTGTAGAGATTAAAAATAAAATCTTAAAAAAAAATTGAATACGTGTATTGAAAGACCTAAAGTGAAAAGAACCATAACAATTACATTTAAGCAAGTCTAAAACTGTGGACTCTACTCATCATAATGATAAAGGACAGCAATTAATAGGTGAATTATGATACACCTATCTTTGCCTATAGGATTGCTTTGGGAGGCAACTTTTGATCTATAACTACAATTCATTTACTTAAAGAATTTTACCTATATCTTGTCAAGAGAGTTCAGACTGCTGAAAAGAAGTGGCTTCTATTTTTAGAGTATTAGATGAGCATTTTTATCATGCATATCAAGAATAGGTATACAGAACTTGGCAAACACTTTATAGTATGCACGTGTTGAAATGATTTAACATAAAGGCAGTAAATGTATGTATTTTTAGTTCAGTAATTCATTTAGGGAATATTTAATTTCTAATGTGTTATATCAACTTAACAGTCTTAAAAGACTATACTGGACATAAACTGTCTAGCTTATTTAAAATATCCACTGTTTTGGATAAAATTTAAACAGTTTACAATGATAGAATACAGGAATGTAATCTGAATTCAAACTGTAATGATGCTATTGTCATCATTAATAACAAACTGAGGGCCAAGGAGATGAGTTAACACACAGCCACAAAATTATATTGTAACGTTTTCCTTTTGTTCTTCCTTTTTGGATAAAAAAGGTGAATAATCATAAGAACAGTATTTTAACTCAAACATTTCATCATTATGCTGAAAATGAAAGCATTTCCTAAAACCGAACCGAGCCCCAGGGCAAAATCTGCTTGGATTATGAGAAAATTTTTACCTGACTGTGAAAATTAAACTATTACAGAACCATTAATTACATTTATACTCATTGCTATTACCATTAGAAAGAAAACAAAAGACAAGAATCATGTTGAATTGTTTGGCTTAAAATCCTGCCAAAATTAATAATTTTGAGAAATGAAATGCTACAGAGAAGTGTAATTAAGAGAGCTGTAAAAATAATTTTACTAACACTTAAAGTCATCATCTTTGGTGAGGAAACTCCATATATATAAATGTGGCTGAAAAAAATCAGGTCAAAACCAACAGTCGTTTATCTATATATCTACATGTAGTTGGCTACTCCAGAAGGTTATCAAAGATTAGCCTTAAGAGTCTTTTGAGGGAAGCCAGGATCCAAATTGGGTGACACGGTGGCTTTCCACTCCTGTAAACAAAGAATAGGGCTCATGAGGATGTACCCAATATACTTTCTGAAAATAATCCAACATATGCAAACATAAAGATCATATTGATTACCATCTCTTAAAACTGTTAGCAGAGTAGTAGGTTCTAAGCTTTGCTTTTTCTTAAACCTTTGCTAAAAACCAGCCATCTCTTCTCCCACTGGTATTTAGAAAGTTGATTGGTCCACTGCTGTTGTAAATCAGAATTCTACCATCATAAGGCTCACACTTCTTATAATCATGCTTTCTGTTTATTTTCTCCCACCCTAAAAGCAGGGGAGTCGTAAGCCAGCCCACTTTCCAAAAACAGACGCTGCCCAGGCCAGCTTTAATGACAGTGAACTGTTAACACCCGACTGTTTGTGACACTTTCTAAATTTTTATCAGGCAAGATTCGCAAATGAAATTTATATCACTGTCAGGCTATCTCTCACAGATCCAAGTTTCTCACATAATAGGCAGGCTAACCCACACTACTCTTTAGAACTACTTAATTAACATAGAGCCCAAGGGCAGGCTTGAAAGATAGGAGTCCTCATTGTTTTTTGTTTTTACTTTTTTCTCCGAAAGCAAATTTTGGACTGCTAACAGAGCTAAATAAAGAGACTATTTTATCAACGTTATAAAGAGAGAAAAAAAATCTTTAGCACCTATGTAACTTTCCTAGAGCAGGTTAGTGCTGGCTTTGTGCACAATAAGCAATGTGGTCCAGAATTTCTCTCACTTTTGTTTTGGATGTATAAAGAGTAGTCAATCATGAGGCGATTTCCAACTAATTCAGGGCTTTCCAGAGTAGCAGGGTTTGGCTGAGGTAGTGGTCAAAGGTATCTGTGTCACATAACACCATCATATTTCAAGTGTTCCGACTCCATATTATTAATCTTCCATATATTCTAGCTTCTGTAAGCTTCCCATAAGTTTTCTGAAGTCTGATAAAGATGGTATCAAACAGTATTTTTCAAATTAAAAGTACAAATTAAATGTAATGCCAGAGGTGCTGTGTTCCCTTGCTTTTCTTTTTTTTTTTTAATTATGTTATGTTAATCACCATACATTACATCATTAGTTTTTGATGTTCCCCTTGCTCTTCATCACAGGTGAGGGATGGGAACAGTTTGTACTGGAATTTATCCACTGGCCACAACCACTGTTACTTTTCTAGGGCCTAGCAATCTCCATTGTTTCTGAAAGGGTCGCCTCTCTTGAGCAAGTGCAGGACTTCCCTCTGTCTCCTGAATACAGTAGCCTGGTGGAGGAGGGGGTGAATCAGATGCCGTGTGGGCGTATTAGACATGTAATCAGTGTCCTTCTTTCTGCAGCAGATACTATCAGTCAAGTGATGCTCAAGCCATAATGGTCACTTCCTTTAAGTAAGTCTGTGTAACCTCGGAGCTGTGAAGCAAGCAAGTCATGACCCACACAGTGGGTCAAATTCACAGGGCATCAGCAATCTCTAGAAACTTGTATTCAAATGTGCAGGCATATGGTATCTCCCCCGTGCCATCCCACCCCCCTTATCTCCTCTCCGACCCGGACTTGGCGTTCACCGCACACCACCCGCCCTCTGGCCTTCCCCAGAGCCAGGCCTCTCTGTGCTCGAGTCGCCTTCCCTCGAACCCGCGGCGCAGGTGGTCCGACGGGTCCGTCTGGGTCTCACACCGGATCCCCGGGAAGCGGCCGGCTCGTGGACTGCGGGCGGGAAAGAGGGCCAGAGGCCCGGCCCCCAGCCCCTGGTCTCCGTGCCGCCGCAGCCGGGGAGCCGGGGGCCCGGATGGAGGCAACTCTACTAGTCCCCAGCTGGAAAACCCGATGCCGGGCTTCGGTCTGGGACGACAAGCCGAGCCCTGGGGAGAGCTGCTGCCACCGCCCCCGCCCTCGCGCGGTCCCTGTACCCCAACCCCAAACAGTCGCCGGCCCGCCGGCTTCTCACTCACCCTACTCGCCACCTCCTGAGACTCGGCCACCGCGGGCGCAGGGACCGCAACCGCAGCCCGGCCACCGCCCCGCCCCTGGCCCCGCCCACGCCCCGCCCCGCCCCTGGGCCCGCCCCTGGCCCCACCCCGCCCCTGGCCCCGCCCCCGACCCGGGGCCCTCGCGCGTGTCCCGACCGCGAACCCACTTCACGCAGCGGTTGTTTCCCGCCTGGTGCTCTTCTTCTGGGTGAATTTTACCTAATCTTTCGCCCATCACCTTCAACGAATACTATCAGAGTAACGGGAGGGGAGAAAAGGTGAGGAAAACAAAAGCATCCACCGCCCAAGCACACACCTCCTGCTCTCTCTGGACCCCGCCCCCGAGGGGAAGCAACCGGCAGCAGTGGCGGTTGACGCGTCAAGCGCCATCTTTCACGTGGGCGGAAGGAGTTGCTGTGTAGTTTTCGCTTCCTCGTGCGACGCCGTAGGTTCGTTTTGGCGTTTTCGATTTGCGATTACGAGAACGCGCGAGGCCTGTGGAAGGGGGCGGGCCAAACTTGCTCCGTCCCTTTGTTCTTGGACGTGCTTCGTGAAAATGTTGAGCAAGGTGTTAGCCGAGATAGTGCTGTTTTTAGTGGGGAAGGCTGCCCGCCGCGAGCAAGCCCAGTTGGTATCTGTGAATGGTTTTGTTTGTGCTTGGCGGGTAGTGGGCGCTCAACAAGTGTGTGTTGAATTAATGGATTTATTTTTTCCTAATGACACAATTAAGTGGGCTGACTCCGCCCCAAGTCTGGTTAGGTAATTTCCTTTTTCAACAATACGTAGTCACCACAGGTTTGTCTTCTTCACATGTAAACATTTTCGTAAGCTTGATTTTCACACTTCCCAATGTCATGTTTGCTAGTTGCACAGTGTAGGTGGACGAATTGGGTTTTTAAGCCTTTGATAATGTACCGTTGTATATGATGTGCTGTATGATTTATTTTTAAAAACCTCGAGTTAATTAGCCTTTTGGTCTGCAAGTGTATATATTCATGCTACAGATGAATGGCACTTAACATTCTTCATTTTTAAAAATCATACAGCACATCTTTATCATTCACTGAGGAAGAAAAGGAAGAATAAATACACAAATGACTCCCTCAGACCTCTTCCCTCTGCAGAATTAGACCCCTTACCCAGTCAGTGCTGTATATGCTTATAGCACCAAATAACTACCATTTATCTAGTGCCTATTGTGTGTCTGGTACTGTGCTCCTTAGTCTAGGTAAAGAATTGTGTTGAATTCTAACATATCTAGGGTATAGATGTCGTCATCCGGTTTTGTGCAGCTCCAGAGCCCACTGAGACCTGAGGACGTTAGGCTGGTACTAAGTTGATGACAGCTCTTCTCAGGAAACACCTATAGGAGATAATACCAACAGACCCAGTTTAGAGTAAAGTTGAGATTCGGGTTAAGTGCTTGGGAAAGGAATATAGTGCCCAAAACAGTTTTTCGTACTTCAAAATTTTGCCTGTATTCAAAATAGTTTCCTTAGTCTCCAACAGGTCTTGGGTTTTGTGCGATATCAACTTTAGAACAACTGTGCTTTCTAAATTCTGCGTGACCATTAGAAATAAGATACATAATTAAAGTGGCTCTGTACACGTGATGTTTTGTGGCTAGTGGATGTGAATTTCCCCCCATCTTTTAGGCATTGTGTAGCAGTAGCTTGTATGTCTTTCAGTGGATCAGAGCAAAAAAATCAATAGGGAAAAAGTAATTATGACTTAGTACTGTGATCCATAGTACTTATATGGTATAACATTTTATATTTGAAGGTGTGAAATAGGACAGATATCCCTTTTTCAGGGACCCAAAGAGAAAATGATACTAAATACATAGTAATGTGATCTATATTAGCAGCACCAAAGGATGGCTTGGGAGGCCTTTAACCCTTATCTCCTCTAAACTCGGTTAATCAGCCCAAATAAACCACCCCAAATAACTTGCCATCTAGTGAAAGTGAAATTGTGCTATTGAAATATTTCTTCAAGTAAGATTCCTAGTCCTCCATTTCCAACCAGAATCCCCAGACTATCTTTAGAAATTTTTGAGCTATCCACCTATCCACATATTAATGAACAATCATACAAAAAGTGTCTACAACCAGGGGAGCAGTGAATAGTTAAGAGGTTGGGCTATGGAAGAATCAGAGCTAGTGTAAGTATTGTCTTCGCCTTTGATTAGTTGTGAGACTTCAGGCAGCATGTGACTTATTTTGCCTCAGTTTCCTTAGCTACAAAGAGGCAAGCAGAGTAATTTCTCATGGGGTTGTTGTGAGGCTGAGCTGAGATCAAGTAAGCTAAGGATTTAGACTAGCGCATTCAAGAAATGGTGGCTCTAATCTCAATTTTAGTAACCGTGCAAGGATAACAGAAAAAATAAGAAACATCAGATAAATCTCTCAAACTGTGTACATATTTATAATTCTAATAAATAGAATACCAGAACCCAGGGAACATTATTGATATATAACAAATGTCAGTTACTGTCAGGAAGCCTTCTCCCCATCCGTTCTTTATTAATGTATTTCAGGAATGTCTTCTGTGCTCCTTCGGAGCTGGAGTTGAGGACTTGTTGATTACCTCCCATTTACCAGGATTACAGCAAATTAGATTTAACTGTGACTGGCATGCGAACTATCTGACATCGGACATGGATGAGGAATATTGCTATATAAACCATAGTGAGTTTAATTTCTTTTAAGTAATGAGATTTTATGTGGTTGCCTTAATCGTTGGAGACTTATCAGTATGCACTTTATGGTACATTACCTTTTGGTTGGAATATGAATGAGCCAACACCCAACTGAGGTACTTGTAGCAGGAATCTTGGTTATTGGATATATTAAGTTGGTTCTTTGAGCCAGTGTGATATAAATGGTTTAGAAAGCCCTAGTGGGTCCATGTCTGTTCTAATGATGCAGTGTAGGCAACACTCCTGTGAGAGAACATTATGATCTCATGTATATTTTCAGCTCCTTCTGGGATTCACCATTCTTTAAAAAATAAGCTTCTCAGTGAGAGGAATCACATCCTCCACCAGGTATTAACCTCTGTTTCTTCCTCCCTGCTGGCACTCTGTACCTCACAAGCAATAGTTGTGAATGATCTAAGGCCTAAGATAAAGAGTCCCCAGGGAGAAGAAATTCCTAGCCAATTAGAGCATCATAAGATGCACAACAAGAAAGAGAACAACAAGTAGGAAGACAGGCCTACCAATTTCTTAAATCTTAGACAAGATCCTTAGGCAGTTTCTTACAGAGGAAGGCAGACTTTGAAGTTACATCTTGTTAAGTTTGTCATAATTTGATGGAATTTAGATGCAATGGGTAGTGCAGAGTGATAGTTTTGGTGCTGTCCTGCTAGAATGCAAGAGTGACAGTGGACCAGTAGCATTCAACCACAGTGACTCCTATTGCCAGACACTTCCCAGGCCCGTTTCACAAGGTCTCCCTGAGCCCGTCTGCCTGTGGTTCCCCGCCCCAGGCAGCTCTCAGCATTTTCTCGTTTATACTTGTACTTGACTACACTTACTAGTGTGTTGTTTTTAAAAGTGGTTTCTCTAGTTATTTCATGTGTGACTTCTGCCTCTACCCAGGGTGTTGTGCTTACAATTTCATCTTCTATCTCCTTTGTTTTCGGCACATTATCAGGTGATTAGTACATGCCAGCTGGCTGATTGAAACTTTATTCCAACTCCTTGGAATTGTTATCCTTCGGCCAGGCCCCTATCTTGTGAGGGCTTCTTTTGAAAATAGCTTTTGACTTTATGAGTCAGAATCACTGTGTTTAAGGTTCAGGGTCACTTTGATTTAAAGTGGGTGAGGAGGGGCACCTGGGCGGCTCAGCCAGGTAAGTGTCTGCCTTCAGCTCAGGTCATGATCCCAGGGTCCTGGGTTCGAGCCCTGCATCAGGCTCCCTGCTCAGCGGGGAGTCTGCCTCTCCCTCTCCCTCTGCCTGCAGCTCCCCCTGCTGTGCTCTCTCTCTGTCAAATAAATAAATAAAACCTTAAAAAAAAAAAAAAAGAATTAAAAAAAGTGGGCGAGGAGCTCCTGTGTTTTTGTCATCAGTGTCATCTTTCCTACTCCCTCCCTCCACACTATTTCTTTAACCCAAAAAAGAAATAGAAAACCATAACTGTCCTTGGGGCAATCTCAGGTCACCTAGTTTTAAAATGTTTGACATCTGTTTTTTTTTTTTTTAATTGAAATACAGTTGACATACAATGTTAAATTAGTTTTAGGAGTATAATAGAGTGATTCGACGTTTTGTATAGTACTTGTTACTGACCACGATAAGTGTAGTCACCATCTGTCACCAGACAGTTATTACAATATTATTGACTGTATTCCTATGCTGTACTTCTCGTCTCTGTGACTTATTTGTTTTATAGCTGGAAATTTGTACCTCTTAATCTGACATCTGTGGGGTTTTGACATCTACCCTTTTTCTTCTTCAAAATTATCTTGACAAAACTGACCCTTTCTTTTCCATGTGACCATAAGGACCAACCGGCCTCTATCACAAATAAGCTTTGTGATATTTTCATTGGAGTTTCATTGAATTTATAGGCCAATTTATTGTCTTTCCATTTGTAAGGATGGCATATTTTTCTACTTACAACTTCTCATATTTTTTTTTTTTTTAAAGATTTTATTCATTTATTTGACAGAGAGAGACACAGCGAGAGAGGGAACACAAGTGGGGAAGAGGGAGAAGCAGGCTTCCCGCTGAGCAGGGAGCCCGATGCGGGGCTCGATCCCAGGACCCCGGGATCATGACCTGAGCCAAAGGCAGACGCCCAACGACTGAGCCACCCAGGCGCCCCTCATATATTTTTTAATTAGGTTTTATAATTTTTTAAAATGATTTTATTTATTTATTTGACACAGGGAGAGAAAGAGAGAGGGAGAGAGCAAGCATAAGCAGGGGGAACAGCAGGCAGGGGAGAAGCAGGCTCCCTGCTGAGCAGGGAACCCCACATGGGGCTCGATCCCAGGACCCTGGGATCATGACCTGAGCCGAAGGCAGACGCTTAACCGACTGGGCCATTCAGGTGCCCCTTAGGTTTTATAATTTTTGTGTAAAAGACACTTCACATATTTTTTGAGATTTTTCCCAAGTTGTATTTTAATTGTGTTGCTATTACAAATTGTTTCTTCTGAAAATGACATTTTAAATTTTTTTTTTTTTTAAGATTTTATTTATTTATTTGAGAGAGAGAGAATGAGAGAGAGAGAACACATGAGAGGGGATAGGGTCAGAGGACAAA